CTAGTGACCTCATGCTTCTTCCATATTTGTTGGGACAAAAAATGTCATAGCACTGATTGTGTTGGGAACAGAGAAATGTCCCCATAACTTAGTCCTAATTTGGCAAACAAAAGAAATTGTCCCTTCTTGTGTTGACTCTTCTGACAGGTACTAACTTACAGGCTCTGATAGACCACACTAAAGACCAGGCAGTCAACAGCAGAGCTGAAATTGTATTGGTTGTATCCAACAAAGATGGTGTGCTGGGACTAGCTAGAGCTAGGGAGGCTGGGATACCAACGAAGGTATGAAAACACTTTGATGTCTCAAAAAGAAGAAAAAAAATTCTGCCAAAAATTCTCCATAAGTTAGCGGATAACTCATAGCTGTAGGATGTGTTCCATTTATTGAGCACTGCAGTTTTTATTCTAAGTAATTACCACGGATACCTGTTATACATATCTTTGAGATATAGTATCTTTAGTTGGTGTGAGATTTGATGAGCAGAAAAACAGCAGTTATTGTCATTTTAAGAAGATTTTCCAACCATTTCAATTAAACATGCAGGTACATGTAAGCAGACAACTTCCATATGAATGGTTTGGAGTTATTAAATAGCCATGGGCAAGTGTTACAACTGGTGAAAGCTTTCAAGTGTGGTTTCAAGTTACTGGTACTATGGTTATTTTGCATTGACTTTGACAGGTGATCAACCACAAAGACTTCAAGTCCAGGGTTGATTTTGATATGGCTTTACATGAAGCCTTGGTAGCAGCTGGTGTGGAGTTCATTTGCTTGGCTGGATTCATGCGAATATTGAGTGGGGAATTCGTGCAGCGATGGAATGGTCGTTTGGTCAACATTCATCCCTCATTACTTCCATCGTTTAAAGGCATGCATGCACATCAGATGGTGCTAGAATCTGGCGTGCGACTTAGTGGTTGCACTGTTCACTATGTTGTGGTAAGTTTGAGGAACATATTGTTCCTTTCAAAGAGCAAGAGGAGGAGGTACATGTACAGTCCTTCCCTCCTCGCAAGTGCATTTTGTTCATACGCTGGGCCTTCAGGAGTTTATGTATGATGTATCTTGCAGTCCTTTTGACACCAGTTTTGTGAAAATCAGACATACCATTTTAGCACAAAGCACATTTTGCTGGGACAGGTCAGCCAAAGTTTTACAATTCATTTTTTTCAATCCAGTTCCTTTTACTTGTCTCTGATTGTGGCCTGGAGGCAAATTTGAAAAAGACAATTCCACTGAAAAGATAAATAATTTTGAAAACAAAACTTCTGTAATATTGAAGCTATCACTTTAAGTAATAAGATAGGTAATACAAAAATTAGTACATAAAGAAACACCACATCACCAAACAGGAACACTTCAACCAATTGGAGCTGCATGCACCAAAATATAAAATTGCAAACAATAAAATCACACACATATGGAAACACTTGGTTCTACAGTAGATTCCTGTTATATTGCTCCCTGATGTAACACTCTTGCCGATATAAAGCTCCTTTTTCATTTCCCCAACTGCACACTCATTGACTGTGTGCATTTTTCTGTTGTTATAGCACTCCCATTTATAACACTTTTGGGGATATAGCACTCCCTATTTTAGGTCCCGGGAACCATATTAAAACCCCTTTGCACCGGGAAACGGTAAGAGCCGCCGTAAAACTTGAGATCCTCGGCCCACACTTGAGCAAACACGGTGAAAGAAAGCAGACCCTGACTCTTGTATATATGGTGATTGGCCTTTGTGTGAAGCCAACAAATGAAAAAAAAACAAGTTTTCATCATAATCACCAGCTTCACAATAGTCCCCACTTTAAAAAGAGGCAACGGGAATGTGGAAGCGTGAGTAGAACCGCATGCCACCAAACAATGAGCCTTTTCACTGTGTAATTCAAAGCATGCAGGGCCACAAACCGAGAATTTGTGGTTTGGCTGGTGGCCTTCATGGTCAAGCGAGGCTGGAATTCTTGGAGTCAGCTTTTGGAAAAAAAATCCTGTCGTCAAGGGATTCAGCATGTGAAATGATTCCGGTTACAGCAGTCTTTACCTTGAAAAGGTACTTACCTTTCTGAAATGATGTTTTGACATTCATTAATAAAGGGACAGTTTCGGGTAATAAAATCAACAAAATGGTACCAGGTACCTGTAATCAGTGGTCGAGTTCCCACATACCAGGCTACTCAGCATGGCCCTAAGAGATGCTTCTATTCAGAATAATATAATCCAAACTACTACTAATAAAACCTTTTGACATTGCTGACAAGTGTTCATTGTCCTTAAAGATTTGTAGAGAAAACACTGCTATGCAATGATTTTGGTATAGCGGTTTTTACACAATACAAGGCAGTATAATTACATGAAATCACTGAATGTCTTAGTCTGCAAAAATGGTCTTTAAAATCAAGCATATTTGTTTTATTTATGTTACATGTTTCCACATTTTAATAGTTGCTTCAGTTGGACCAGTCAACATTTCAGTTGAAATCATTGACATTTTAATTCTGTACTATTTAGCAGTGAACATTTAATCTTTGTGGAATCCTTTTCATTCCTATAACATGGGAAAGTGTGAAAAATTATGGAAAAATTCCCCCTCTGAATGACTGAGTCATTCATTTCACTGTCTGAGGAATGAAGGAAATACGAATACATGCAGGTTGGGATACTCTGAAGAGAAGAAACATTGTTCTCTAATGATGTAAAGGTTACTTACCCCCCCATACCTGCAGTATATTTGGAATTGAATGAGACAAGGGATGAGAGACTCACCTTGTGGACTTTAAAACAATTGGTGTTTCTTTGGCAATAGTAGCACTCCCTGGTCATATTCCATCATCTCAGTATCTCTGCAGTAAAAGGCTGCAAGTGTCCTGTATTCCAATTTGCTGTCTTCAAAATGTCACTCATGGTAACGCCAGCTGGCCTCGCAACATTTACATTGAAGAGTGCCTTGAATGAAGTGTCAATAGCTTGGCATAATGGATTTTGAATAGTTGATGACACTACTGGGTGATGTGGTTTTTCGTAAGAGATTACTAGATGAGTGAACTTGGCATTCCTAGAACCTAGAAGAGAACTGGTGTGACCCAGGTATTCATCTAGAACTTTGACAACACATAACTTCTTGTTCGCAGAGTATTTATGTAGAACGACCTTTCTACATGTACATGGTTTCTGCATTGTTGCACACTTGGTTAACTTTTCGAAGTTCAACACTGCCAAAGTCTCGCCCCACCTGGAGTGGGTCGAGTCTACTACTGCATACCTACCAATACATATGCATTATTCCTAGTCCATCACTTCCATTCACTAAATTCTTGATCACCAGCAGTGCACCCCCACTCACTCAACCCACCGGAAGGCGGCCACCATGTTCTTCTTTCTTTTTGATGCGCAAAGTGCGCTGAGGCCACACGGGGAGGAGGGAGGAAGATTGGTAATCTGGTAGGTATGCAGTAGTAGACTCGACCCACATTACGTGGGGTGGGGGATTCTACTGCCTGCAATTGTAATCGCCCGGAGGAAAGTTGAAAAGGAGCGAGAACGATTGCCACAATACCAAGTCTTAGCTTTGTCGAGCTTGTCCATGGCCTCCACGCATGCATGGTCAAGAGGAAGCTCAGGGTTAAGAGAATGAGAAGATGACGACCCCGGAAGGTGGCACTTAAATGTGGGTCAATTCTGATCTTCCACTGGAGGAGTAGGAGTTGGAAGTCCTAGGATCTGTATCATTTCACATTGGAGCAGACGAAGGTGGGACTCATTTACAGAAACAGGCTCCTCCTTATCAAATGACTGACCCAAGTTTGAAACAAGCAACGGTGGGTCAGAACCAATGGAGGGATCATGAGAATAGACCTCGGCAGATGCCAGCCACAAAGGCCAAGGCAACAAAGGAAGATCCAGCTGTCCGGTGTGAGACTCAGAACAAACTGGGAGCGGGAAGTAAGGATCGGGATCAGGATGAGTAGCAGACGTTGGATGGGAATAATGCTGAATAAGGGTTGAATTAGACTCCATAAGAGCCCACAGCATATCCTCAGTGAACAGGAGCCTGACAAATTCTTGCTCTTCTTCTTCTTGGAAAACCATTCAGAAGAAGGAGAGCAGCTAGGTGCCTTGCGCTGCTGCCTCGTTATAGCTCCTGATAGCTGAGAAGAATCTAGGTTGGGAGAAAGAGCCACTGAACCAAAACCGGAGAACAACTGGCGGCTACGGGGATCAAGCTAAAGGGGATCAGCAATGGAGGGAGGCCGAAATCCCCAACGCCAGAGTAGACCTAAGGTCTCAGTGTCTCCGGGTTAAGAACGGGCTAGTAAGAGTGTTTTTTTAGTGTATATTTTTGTGTTCTTTTCTTCAGCACTATGAGGTTTGTTCCAGCTTTGCCTGTGTCTTTCCTACCAATAAATTACAGGCCTTAGCCGGTTGAATTCAGGGGGGTTGCTGTCTGGATCTGTTGTACTCCAAGTGAAGTATGCCACGCCCTTTGCCTGACATAGCTCAGAGGAATCCATGCAGCATTCCAGCTAGCCTTCCCCAGGCAATGCCGAAGAGTACCACCTGCCGTACAACATCAGCCAAGAAGACCACTTCTCCAGCGGCCCCTGTGTATACTCCTTTTCACCCAGATATTAAAGTCACCGGGCTGGATCCCTGTGAGTGCTGGGGCCCGCCCCACCTGGTGCGCCATTGAGCTATGACACCCTGGCACCCACTTATTCTTTTTCGGGTTCCACGGAGCCTTCCAGGTTTTTCACAGGTCTGCGGCTCGGGATTTCAACTGGGCATCACCGGGTCATAGGACCTCATTTCTCCTGGTCCCTCTGCCTGGAATTCTGCAATTCCCATTGACTTTGACCAGGAATGCGCCCCAGGCATTCCACCTTCTGCGGCCCTGTTTGTTACCTCTACCATCCGTCACCGGGAAAGGCAAGCACAAGCGCTCCTCTCCTTCATCAAATGCCTGGAAACCCAAGAAGAAGCACCGCTCCAACCACCACAAACATACTTCTGCAGCTTGCATGTCAGCCATCAGTAAAGTTGTGACCTCCGCTGCTCGCTGCCTCGGCGTTAGACTGCCATCGGCCTCCACTGCCCCGGACCCGTTTCTGGCAGCCCAGCCCCTTCCGCCCTCTCCGGCCACAAGCCATGATTATACTAAGCAAGGTTCAACACCGGAATCACACCAGCCGGGTGTTGCTCCACAGGAACAGGTCACTCCCCACAGGACTGCACTGGCTCGAAACGAGGCACTGCCCTGTCCTCAACCGGGCAACCAGCATTGTCTTCCGTGGAGGACGAAGTTGATTCTATCAGCACCCTCACTCTGTCCAATTTTCACCTCCATCGTCTTCAGCAAGACATGATTAAAGTGCTCGGCCTGCCGTCAGCTGCTCCACCGTAGGAGGACACAGCATGACTGGAATCTTCCAGGTCAATTTGTTCGTTCATGCGTGGAGATATTCATGCAGGTGATATTAATCAGGTGACCGTGTCTTTGTTTCAAGATGACATGGATTTCTCTAGCCAGAATTTGGCATGCGTCCGAGTCCGCTCCAGCCTGACGGTCCTCTGTTTTACCACCTGCCAATCTCTGGGGCATCCTTGGCTCTTGACTTTACTTCAGTCCAAGTAGGTGACCGTGTCATAGGTTGAAGATGGCATGGATTTCATCAGCGTCCTCACCCCTTATGACATGTTCCAGATTCTCAGTCCTCCGTCAGCCACCCTTCCGGAGGAAGACACTGACCACGCCCGTGCCAGTCAACCGACCACCCCACTTCTTCAGCATCCGCCCTCAGATACTCTTGCTACGTGGGTCCCAGGCGTGAAGTAGGCTCTTCACCTTACCGGACCACTCCTTTTGTAATCCGGAGCGGCCCTGGTGTATACAATGCTGGCAATGCACACTGTTCTTCACCGTCCCTTTATCTAGGGCCTTC